GGGGGGCTCACTAACTCTGCTTGAGGATCCACAAGGCAAAAGTGGTAGACCGGGGCTTGTGGGTGCAGTGGTCGTCTTTCCAACGTGTGATCTTAAGTACTGTACTTTATTCAGGGGTGAGGGGTGGCTCCGACTAGCTGATGAGTGTTTTCAGTGCTATCACATAGGGAACCTGAACTGGGCCACAGTGGGAGTATTTACACCATGGGAATTGGCAAATGCTTCAAATCAGGATCCTGTCCCAGCAGTGGTTCCGCCTTTATCAGCACCCCGTGGATTCCATGTTTCAGGATGCCAGGTGCCCCAGACCAATTATTGCTGCCTGCTTTGTTGGTCTCAACCTTTTCAAAAGGGAAGTTTAGGTCTCAGAGGAGAGTCACATTAAATACTACCCCCCAACTCCCCGCCTGCCCAACCAGCAAAACCTATTTATTTATATCTTATCAGACAAGAGCAGATTTGCCTCCCAGCTCTGCTGGTCAGCTGTAGAGCACGTCAGCAGCGCCTTCAGAGATCGAATGCTGTTATTATTGGTTGGTTTTTGTTTTTCTTCCCAGCCATTCTTGCTTCCGTGGCATATCAGGAAGAAGGGGAACAAAGTCACAAGGCTGGAAGGCACTCATTTCCTGTTCCTTTGACGTTTCCCTCTGTCTGTACAAGTTACTTTGGAGAACTCCATTTATATTAATTTTACGAAATTGAAGTTTACTTGTAACTAACCAATCAACCAACCAACCCACCCTTTCAAAGTTTTTGAATTTGACTTCTCCTGGCTTTCCCAGGGCCGTAGAGTCAGAACACCAAATACTCCCAAACTTTTGTAAAGCACATTACAGACAGTTTAGCAACAGCTGGGGGGAGGCTTCCCAACAATGTTGATGGAATGCCTCTATAGTGCTGGAAGACCAGACTCTGGGGGCAAAGCTTGGCTCTGCAGGGCGATGTTCCTTTTAGACTGCAACCGTCCTAGAAGAATGCCCAGATGCTTGAAGTCTGTTACTAATGGGCCCTGCAGGAAGGAAAGAAAATCATTTTAAAGCTCTAATTCATTATGTTTGTTTTCTTCCACTAAGGCAGCAGTTCTCAACCTGTGGGTCACGACCACTTTGAGGGTCGAATGACTCTTTCACAGGGGTTGCCTAAGGCCATTGGAAAACACATTATTTCCAATGGTCTTAGGAACCAAGACACCCCTTGCTCCTCTATCGTCTCCAGGCAGGTCTGCCCACATGCAGATATGCCCCTACGAGTACCCCTCATGAAGACCGCTACCCATGCTACACCATACTTCCAGACAAAATTTCATTTATTTGTAATTAGAAATAAATATTTCACTATATATAATGACATACTGTTTTGTGATGAATCACTATGCTTTAATTATGTTCAATTTGTAACAATGAAAATACATCCCACATATCAGATATTTCCATGACGATTCATAACAGTAGCAAAATTACCGTTATGAAGTAGCAACGGAAATAATTTTATGGTGGGGGCCATCACAACCTGAGGAACTGTTTGAAAAGGCCGTGGCCTGTGGAAGGTTGGGAAGCACGGGGCCAGCAGGAACGAGTGAAGTGCGAGGCAGAGTTAAGCACATTTCGATTCGCCTTTGGACAATAGAATACAAGACTGTCCAGCCCTGCACCATATTCACCATTGCTATGTTTGAGACCGTTGTCAATCCATCTCCTTGAGAGTCTTCCACATTTATGTTGCTCTTCCATTTTACCAGGCATGATGTCCTTTTCCCGGGAATAGTTCCTCCAGATAACAAGTACATGAGAGGAAGGCTTGCCATCCTCGCTTTCAAGCAATGTACTTCTAAGACAGATTTATTTGTTCTTTTAAAAGTTGATACTTTCAACATTTTCATCAGTGCCGTGATTTAAATGCATCGATTCTTCATTATTCCTTATTCAGGGTCCAACTCTCACATACAATTGAAAGTATCATGGCTCCGGTCAGCTGTACTTCAGTTAAGTAACATCCTTGCTCTTCAATCCTTTATATAGGTTTTGTGCAGGAGATTGACCCAATGCAACACGCCTTTTGCTCTCATGACTGCTACCTCCATGAGCACGGATTATGGATTCAAGCAACATAAAATCCTAACAACTTCAATCTTTTCTCCATTTATCATAATGTTCCTTATTGGGACAGTTGTGAGGATTTGGGTTTTCTTTACATTATTAAACTGTAATCCATACCGAAGCTTGCCAGCCTTGATCTTTATCAGCTAAGGTTAAAAGTTCTCTTCACTTTAAGCAAGCAAGGATGTGTTGTCTGAATATCACAGGTTAATAAGCCTTCCTCTCCTCCTGATGTTGCATTCTTCGTTATATAGTCTAGCATACTGATTGAATAATATGGTGAGAGGATACAACTGATGTACACCTTTCCTGATTTTAACCTGTAACCCATGCAGTATTCCCTTATTCTGTTTGCACAGCTGCCTCTTCATGCA